ACATTAATGGTAATTGCTTTTTTTTTTTTTTTTTTGCCATTTCAGCTTATTAAAGGTTTCACGGGAACCTGTATTTTGAGGAGATGGTCACTAGGATTTGCTGACAGAATGGATAGGAGGTGTGGTTCCAAGGTCTTTTGGCCAGAGCCACTGGAAAGGTGAAACTGCCATTGACTGAGATGGGGACAGCTTTAGGAATGGTCATTTTGGGGGGAAAGATCAGGTGCCAGATTTCGACATGTTGAATTTGAGATGTCTATTAGACATCCAGATGGAGATGACTGGTCAACAGACCCTGTCACTGAGGTGCTCAAAGTTAGAGAAATGGAAATAATCATAGGGTTTTTTTGGGGGGGGGGAGGATTAAATGTAAAACACTTAGCACATTCCCTGGTACACAACGGTTATGACCAAGTCTAGGCTAGGCTGGTAGCCCAGGAGCTTGAAGCTTTTATATATGCTCAGCAGTTTGACAATATAGAGTGCTAGACTCTTTTTTCCACATCCTATAAGTGGCTCAGGAAAAAAGCCTCCTATAGCCTGGGCCCTCTGAATTGCTCTGATTGAGGAATAAGCATTGTTAAGCCTGGAGAGAATGGAGAGTGTCAAACTGCTCTCCCAATGTCCCATCCGTACTGACTGGTTCTCTTTCTCTCACTCACTCGTGCTCTCTCTCTTGCTCTCTTTTGCTCTCGATCGCGCCCTCTCTTTTTCGGTCTCTCGCTCGCTCTCGCTCGCTCTTGCTTGCTTTTGCTCACTCTCTCTCCCTCGCTTTCTCTCCCCCCCCTCCCTCTCTCTTTCATCTTTTCATTTTTAATGAATATGAGTAAAATCCCTTTAGAATCATAGTGAGCTTCTCCTCCACTCACTCCAGAGAGACTCCAACTGGACTTGGGTTGGCGAGGCTGGGAGGACCCGACAGCCCTGAGATGCTTTGACACTTGGCACACCCTCACAACTGCTAGAGCTCCAGCCTGAGGCCCCAGGGGGACAGGCGCCCCCTACAGGTCGAAAGCAGCCCCACGCCCCTGCAGGCGGCTGCGGTTGCTAGGCAACCAGGTGGCCTGTGCAGAGGCTGAAGCCACCAAGGAATAGGCAAGGGATTTTAGGAGGAAGAGAGAGACCACTTCTCATCTCATCCACCGTCTCACTGGGGTCCTCAGCAAATTGACCCAGTTGGGGCAGGGGGGCCCGCTGCTGATGATCTAGGCTCATTCTTGAAGGCAGAGCTGTGTACAATTTAGACAGATTTTGTGTGTGGAAAAACAATCAGCTTTGTCCAAAAGCCCTCTGGTTTCACTTGGGAGCTGGAGATCTGGGTCGCTTGAAGGCAGAAGTTTCTGGTTTGCGAGTAGGGTGCATTGCTGTAGGTGTGCATCCTCGGTGAATGGGAATTCTAGCACATTGGGTGTGGGTGGGAATAATTTTGGTGATTAGTCCGATAAAGTATCAAGATTTCCCCACCATTCTCAATATGTGGATTAAGGAATTCTTACTTTAGCCCACTGAAATAAAAACTCTCCATAGAGGAGCGCCTGGGTGGCTCAGTCAGTTAAGCGACCGATTTCGGCTCAGGTCACGATCTCACAGTTCATGGGTTCAAGCCCCACGTCGGGCTCTGTGTGGACAGCTTGGAGCCTGGAGCCTCCTTCAGATTCTGTGTCTCCCTCTCTCTCTCCCCCCTCCCCCCCACTCTGTCTCTCTCTCAAAAATAAATAAATATTTAAAAAAATTAAACAAACACCTCTCCATAGAAATGACAATGTATATAAAGGATCATTCATTTCTTGGTGGAGCCAAGTTTCTCAGTGGCTTTCCTGAATTAGGTTCCTCTATGGAGTTGGGAGAGATCCTGAGGTCTGTTGACTCCTGTGAGCAGGGACAGAGCCCAACAAGAGGGAAAGAAAAAGAATCAGCAGGTGATAAACAGAATTCAGCAGCTTCCTAGTGCTGTGTCTGGTTTGGGGCTAGCAAATTCTCGGCTCCATGCCCCCTCTCTTAGGACCATCCTGAAGCACCCCATCTCTATGAGGGCCTTTGGGGACCAGAAATCCACAGTTTTTCTTCTACAGCTTTTTTCCCACACAACCTAGTATTTCAGCCCAAGAGTAGGTCCAGGCAGGCCAAGGCTGTAGCCACAATAACTGCTCTACTTGGGACACATCTCCTCACTCAGCTAGTACAACAGGAGCTTTGTTGTGGCAGGACTCCAAGCCATGGCACACTTAGGGGAGAGCTGTGCTCAGAAGTATCACTGTGGGCCTTCCCTTGAGAGTTCCAAGGTAGAGATATCAGGCTGAGGTACTGGTAGCCAGAGAGGTACTGGTCCAGCTACTGCCTCAATCCACAACATCTCCACGGGGCGTAGTGACAGAGGGAGGCTCCTTGTTCTCTGTGCTTCCGAACTGAACTGGGTCGGAGCTGTGCCTCAGCTCTATTAATAGCCCCCTAGTCCAGCCTGCTAGCCCCAAACCCTGATGCCAGGAGCTGTGACTCAATACCTAAAAATAACGGAGAGCAACTGCACCTCAACCCCAATGAGCAGCTCCGTGAGGCCCTCCACCCTCAAGTTTTTGTCAGTCCCAGTCTCCAGTCCAGGGCCTCATAGAAGTTAAGTGTGCCACTGCTGTCCTGTCCTCCTAGGAAGACAGTAAGGGTAAGCGGCAGCAGGCTCAGGGCCAGGAACTCAAGGCTAGGGGCTAGGCGTAAGGGTTTAGGGTCTGGGACTAGGACCTGGCATTCTGGCCAGGAGCCTGGACTCTGAGGTTACAAGACTGCAGCTGAGAGCCTGGGAGCTTAGAGGCTGAGGCCGCGGGGGTTGGAGAGCCTGGAGGTTGTCAGGATTAGGTCGTAAGGGGAGGGGAGGAAGAAGCTGCAGGGCTGTGAGGCTGGGCGCCCCGGAGGGGACAGAAAAGTAGGGGTGCGGGGTGGAGGTACACGCTGAGAGGTGAGAGCCCTGCAGTATCGGACAGGCTAGGAGCCCCGGAGCTGAGGCCGGCAGTCAGTCAGATTGAGGGGCGGATCGGGAACAGGGAAAACTAAGAAAATGCAGTTTCAAAGGGTAGTGTGTGAAGGAGACCCGCCCTCTACAAGGCGGCGTGGACGCCCAAGGAGATTGGGACCGGGCAGCTGCCGCGGCGTTGGTTCCCGATGCGCCTACCTCCTTCCCGCCGGTCGCGCGCTGGCGCCCCCGCCCACCGCGCCAGCTGCAGGCCAGGTTTGTCGGCTTGGATGGCTGCCTGTGTGTGTACGTGCATGTGTGTGCATGGCGGGGGCGGGGCGGCGAGAGGGGAAGGGGCGGGGTCCGGGAGGAGGAGGGGGCGGGAACACAAATTCAAACGCGCTTCCGTCAATTCCGCGACCGGAAGCTGTCAGGGGCACCTTGGGAATTGTAGTTCCCTGGGCTGCCTTGCAGTCCAGTAGGGTTTTGTCCCGAGGCGCTAGTGCTGCCCCAGGTCCCAGTCTGGCGAGAAAAAAGGAATTGTGAGGAGCGAACCTCCTGACTTCGCCAGCGTCTTAATTCGATTTCCCTTCGTGTGGGGACGCGAACCGGGGTGACTTGGTGCGGTGGGAGGGACGAATGGTCAGCCACAGAGCCCGCTCGGGTCCCTGTTTTTGCCTTAAGCTCCTCCCTCCCCCTTCTACCAGACGCCTCATCCTAGGTCAGCTCCTCACTGGTCTCCTTAACTATTTTAGCCCAGGAACTCGCGAGCAGCAAACACATTGGGGAACCTGCTCCTCGAGGGGAAGGAGGGCCTGGGAACCAGACCCTGCACGCAACAGCCCACGGAGGCGAGAACTTGTGGAAATCGGACTATACCCTCAGGGTCTCGAGTCAAGGACACAGGTCCCCAACCGGCACGGAAAACAGGTGACATTCTTACGTCATGGTGATGACTGACGCGGCCCTCTTCTTGCGGCAGGTGACCACAAGGTGGAGCTACAACGCAACTCTGCGCAGCGTGCCTTGGCCACCCAGAATATCCCCTGTGACGGCTGCTCTCCCGCTTCCCCTCTTGCAGCAACCCCTCCAGCCCAAGAATCTCTCCGTGATGACCCCTCAATGTCATTCATATCACAACCGAGGATGGAATGTGCATCCCCCACCAAGCCCCGGCGCGGAAAAGATTAGACTATGACAAAACAGGAGTTAAATTCATTGAATAAGCAGATTGACACCATACAGGAACCAACCTGTCTTGAAGAAAAGGCTGTGCACAGCAAAAAGCCAGTTATAGTCACAGAATTAAATGGCTAGATGGGCTCTTCGGCCCTCAGTGTCTAGGCAGGAAAGCAGCTAAATTGCAGGGGTCAGGGGAGACAGTGAATGGAGTGGGGATTGGTGACTCCATCATCTTAGTTCTCCAGCAAAGGCCATTTTGTCATCTCCTTCAGTTATAGGTCCAAGCTATCCCATCCCTGACACACCTTGTGTCTTCTACTCGAGAACACGCACACACAGGTCTGAAACATTATCTTGGCAACCTCCTTTCCACTTCCTCTGTTAACATTTGCAGAGAAACTTCCTATGAGTCACTGTCTTCCTAACCTAACCTCAGGTCAAAACCCTAAGAGGAGCAGATTCCATGGAAGCTTGCAGCATGCCCACCATCTGTGCAGAGGGCCCTCATGGTTCAAAACCTCCTGTTGACAAAGTTTACCCCACCCCAACCCCACCAACTTTCCATCTCAGCTGCTCTCTCTTCCTTGCTGTTAGCCAATCCAGAGAGGCCTCAGACTCTGGTAGGTGGGGGTCCGGGGCTGGGCATTCACTCCATTATGAAATTGTTGATCCTGGTCAGCAGCACTGCTGTTTCTAAGCCTAGAGCAGGGGGTGGGGAAGACATATAGGGAGTGACCAAAGAGAAGGCTATAGGAGGAGAAAAATGAGGTGAAGGGAGAAAGTTCTTACCAGTTTTCTCTCTCTCCTTCTTACATCTCCTATAGAGAGAAAAAGCTTCCCATTGTGAGTTCAGCCAGCTGCAGGCATGGCCTTTTGATCTCAGGTTCCCCCAAACTGCCTTTCCCAGGTTCAGGCCAATTTGGTGTACAAAGAAGGGTCCAAGAATCTCAAAGGAACCAAATCCCAAGCTCCGGGCAGCATGTAGGAGTCTAAATTGGCCCTATCACCGGGACCCTGGGGGGCATGAAGACCCAGAAAGCTGAGGCATGAAGCACTCACCCTTGCAGGAGGAAGGTCCACAGAAGCAGCAGGGTGGAGACACAATTGGTAATGATCCACATCATTAGGTAGGTTTGAGGGGGCTGTGGGAATAGGAAAAGGCTCCTGTCGGTGGCCAGAGTCCCAAAGGTAGTATATAGAGGGAAATGTGTAAGGAATAGAGGAACAGGGTTAAGGAGAGCCAGGGATGGGAGAAAGGGAGGGGTGACAGCCCCAGAGCCCTTACGATAAGCCAGACAGGGTAACGCATTTGCTGTAGCAGCTGGCAGTCGTTGGTGGTGACCGAGTCCACCCCTGCACACCAGAGCAGGGAAAAGAGCCAGGGCTTGTTCACCACAAACAGGTTCACCGACACATTATCCTGGTGTAGTGCCCTGGAGGGGGGGGTGGGAAAGAAACAGGAACATCTAGTATCATGGGGCATGAGGCACAGGAAGCAGCCTTTGTCCGTGCTTGAAGCCGCAGTGTCACTGCCAAGGAACTCTCAGTCCTACTTTTACATAGCATCCCCTGAACAAAAGTAATTTTCTTTGCATAGCTCAACTTTGTCTCCTGGCGGATTCCACCTACGGATCTGAGCTTTGCCATCTGGGGCTACACGAATGTCTCTCTTCTTTGTCCCATGACAGACCTTCAGAGGTCTGAGGAACAGTGACCATGTCCCTGAGTCATCTCCTCTCTAGGCCCGACAGCCCCAGTTCCTTCATCCAGGGCTGGGACCTGGGTTATCATTCCCTTCACCATACAAACCTCTCCTAATCTGATCTTACTTCAGTTGATCAATGTTCCTTTCTTTTTTTAAAAAAAAATTTTTAATGTGTATTTATTTTTGAGAGAGACAGAGACAGAATGCGAGTGGGTGGATTTAAGGGGGACAGAGAGGGAGACACAGAATCCCGAAGCCCAGGCTTGGAGCTCCAAGCTGTGTGGCAGCACAGAGCCGATGCAGGGACTGGGAGCACTTCTGAGCCTGTGAGATCATGACCTGAGCTGAAGTCAGATGCTCAACTGACTGAGCCACCCAGGTGCCCCTCCTTTTTTTAATTTTTAAAAATTATTTTATTTATTTTGCGAGAGAGAGAGAGAAAGAGCATGAGTGGAGGAGGGGCACAGAGAGACAGCCAGAGAATTCCAAGCAGGCTCTGTGCCGTCAGCTCGAACTCACAAACCGTGAGATCACGACCTGAGCCAAGATCAAGAGTCAGATGCTCAACCGACTGAGCCACCCAGGCGCCTCTATCAGTGTTCCTTTCATAGTATGGGGGCTTGCATCTGAACATGATATCCCAGGTGGGCTTGGCCCAGATTTGAGTACAGCAAAACTTCCTCCTGCCTTCTGGGCACTGTGGCTGTTTGAAGGCAGCCCGGGGTCAGGTTAGTTTTGGCAATGCCACATGCCATTGATGACTCATTATGAACACTATTCAATCAAAGCTCTGGTTTTTCACACATGTTCATGCTGATGCCAGTCTCCTCTCTTGTCGTTGTGCAATTGAACTTCTTTTGGAGTGCAAATGTAGGTAGGTGTTTACATCTATCCCTGTTGTGCTTTATCCCGGTATATTTGGTCCATCATCTTAGAGTGCTTAGACCTTTCGGGGCCTCGATTTCATTACCACTGTATTCATTACTAATTCATGTCTTTTGAAAACCTGCTCAGCGGTTGAGGTTGACCAGGACAAGTCTAAAGTGAGGGCCAAACCCCATGTCATGTCTCCCTCCATGGTGACAACTTGGGGAAAGGTCCTTGAAATACTTACGCTAACTGGGCTACCATACAGTGCACTTTTTTTTCTATCTGACCACAAGGACATGAGAAGAGACCTTGGCAACTGCATGCTTTGCAGTTCATCATGTTTATGGGCTGGGTCAGCTTCTGGGGTCTGGCCCACTTCTGGGACTCTCTTGCTTCTCTCCTCTCGATCCATCCTCCCTTGCACTTACTTCTTTGGTGGAGAATGAAAGCTAAAACTGTTCTTGTGGCCCACAAGGTCCTACCCAATTGGGCTCCTGCCTATCTCCCCAGCCTCACCTTTCCCTTGCTTATGGGGCTGCTGTTTCTGCTCTTCTCACAGCTCTTCTCCTCATTAGCTCCTTGTGACCTGTCAGGTCTCAACCCAGACATCACCCCTTTAGCTATTTTTCCGGATGTGGCCCTTCTCTGGCCCTCACTCCCAACCCTAATTGCTCTACTATATCTCCCCATTTTATTATCTTCATATCACTTATCCAGTATGCATATAATTCGTTCAGTTTATTATCTCTTTCACTAGTATGCTCAAAGCCTGCAACAATAGTGCCTTTCACATAGCAAGTGTTAAATATATTGATAAATATTTGTTGTATGTGTGAATGAATGAATGGCCTTTGCCCTCCCTGAGGTGGCTCTTCCCTACCATTAAGCTTCACGGGGTCCCCTTGGCTCCTTTCCTCTGGCACTCACTTGATATCCAACAGTGGCAGGTCTTGATAGGGGAGGTTGAGAAACTGGGGCCTCTCAGTTCTGTTGCTTCCCTGCTGTCCATATATCTGGCGCATTCTAGGTGCCCGTTGTTGGACCTTAGCCCGATCTTCATCCGGTAGCCAAAGGACCTGTGGTTCAGGGAAGATGGGCATGAACCTGGGGAAGGCTTGGGGATTCCAGGGGCAGGGCCAGGGGCAGAGAGGTTTGATAACAGAATGGGGTATATGAGTTGAGGTGGGGCCCTGGGGCAGGGGGCAGCCTCAAAATTATCACCGTGGCCTAGGGAAGGCAGGGGTGGGGAGATGGGCAAAAGGGGGCACTTGGGGTCCTGGACATATCACCATGGCTTGGGGCACCCTTGCACTCAGCACAGTCTCCAGTGTCTGGTTCACAAATGTGTCATGGTATGTGTGATTTCGTGGGGGGCGGCGCAAGTCAAACATGATAGAAAGGTTAAGGACTGCAGCTTCCTTCAGCAGCTCTTCCAATGTTGGGACTGTCTGGTTCTCAGCCTCCTTCCGATCAGGGTCAGACAGCCGTTTGGCCCCCCAGAAGGGTTGCCTCTATGAGAACAGGAAAATTATTTCAAGACCAGAAGAAGCCTTTAGGCCATTCCCCCATCCTCACGATCTTCACTCGTTTCCCCCACTTGGCGCCAGGCTTGTGTGCACCCCTGAGCCACAGTCTTTCTTTCTCCAAACTGTGACCCTTTCCAGACCCTCTAACACCTTACTCTGTGACCCTAACCTCCTACCCCCCTGGTTTCCTAACTTCCTCACATTTTCTCTTTGGTCTCACAGAGACCTCTGGGACCTTGGCCCTTTGGTTTCTGCCCAATCCATCAGCCCCTGTCTGCCACATCTACATCCCCTACCCATGGTCCATCTACAGCTCGCATTACTTTTCCATACCACCTTCAACTCCTTTCCTGCCCTGCACGCCCCACAAATCCTAAACCCTGATTCAATTGTGTAGCAGTCTGCCTCCTCCACCCCTAGAATTGGGGGCTGAGCACATCATGTGGACTATATAGTCTTTTACCTTCATTGCCACTTAATCATCCTTTTTTTTTTTTTTTAAGTAAGCTCTATACCCAACGCAGGGCTTGAAAGCACAACCTTGAGATCAAGAGTCACATGCTCTACGGACTGAGCCAGCCAGGTGCCCCACTTAATCATCCTTTCACTTGTTCTTGTTTTGCTCCTTCTTCCATTCCTAGTGGCTCTTCCAAACCTCTGCCACTCTCCTCCCTTCCCCTTGTAATCAACAAATGACCTTACCTCCTAACCGCTGACACGGAAAAAGCAAGCTATCTGATACTTATTATAAAGTATTTACTATGTGCCAGGCAGCGTTAGAAGTACTTTATGTGCGTTGATTTATTTAATCCTCCCCAAATCCTACAAAGTAGGTACTATTATTATGCCTATTTTACAGACGAGGAAAGTAAAGCAAGAGAGACTAAGGAATGTTGCCCAGGCTCACATAGCTAGTAGGTAGTGAAGCCAGGACTCAAACCCAGACAACCCTTGGTCTTAATCACTCTGGCATGTCATTGTATATAGAGTTAAATGAAAAGACAATCAAGTTGCAAAAGAATATATGAAGTGATCCTATTTGTGCAAAATGACATGTATGTGTGTATACACATATGGAGTATGTACCCAACTGTTAGCAATGATTATCTCAGAGGAGTTGGATTATGGGAGACTTTCAATTTTTACATTATTTCTCTAATGTTTAATTTTTTTATGCGGAACAAGTATTACTTTTATTTTTAAGCAGGCTGTGTACTGGGTGGGGAACCCAATGTGAGACTTGAACTCACGACCCTGAGATCAAGACCTGAGCTGAGATCAAGAGTTGAATGCTTAACTGACTGAGCCACCCAGGCCCCCCAACATGTATTATTTTTAAAGGTAGGAACACAGGAACTGAGAAAATAAAGTATCCTTACGAAATTTTCCGTCACCTACAGAACCGAAGCCTGCACTTCTGGGCCTGACATTCTTTTTTTGGGGGAGGGGGGCGGTTCTGGCATTCAAAGCCCTCTGAAACCAAGCCTCTGCTCCCCTTGCCAGTCTCAGCTCCCACTGCTCCCACAAATTTTATCTCCCAGTTGCACTGAGTCACTTTTTGTTTCCTGAGAACACTTCTTCATACTTCTGGGCTTTACATATGCTCTTCCATCTGACTAGAATTGCTGATCCCTGCTTTGCCCATCTTAAACAGCATTCTCATTTCATGTGCTGCTCAGGCATTCTCTCTTGTGAAACCACTCCTGATCCTCTTCCACACCCACCCTGCCAAATAGTGCCTTTGCTCTCTCTCCTCTCTGTTTACTAAGGATATTGTTATCGCTCTAGGTTTCCTATTCTGATAGCCTGTTGGCTAAGCTCTCTTCTTTCAGCGGAGGGAGTGACTTGAGGGCAGAGCCTCTACACCTATTGCTCAGCACAGGGATCAGAAAATACTTATCAATGAAGGAACCCTCCCCTCAGCACCCCCGCAGGTGGTTGCCTCTTTTGTGAGGCTGTCTTCACCTCTAGGAACCAGGTCCCGGCATTGAGCTTCTTCAGTTCAGCACAGGAGAAGTCGCTGCTGTGGGAGGAGGTTCGGGCTGGGAACACTGAGGCCACATCTGTGGTCCTGCTCAGGTGCTCATCATGCATGAGGAAGGGGATCCCGTCAGAGCTGAGGGCACAAGAGGTGTCAGAGGGCTGAGCTCTAGGGCTGATCATCATTTCCCAAGCTCCCCAAGTGTGTCCCTCTGTCCCCTAGTGTCTCTCACCTAACCATCACGTCAGTCTCGAACACAGCAGCTCCACATTCGGCTGTTTTCCTCAGTGACATCAGGGTGTTCTCGGGGGCCAGCTGGGAAAGGGAATTGGTAGGGGGGTAGCAGAGAAGGGTGCGAGCCTGGGAACCCACAGGCCTGATTGCTGCAGCCTAGAGGAGCAGACCCTTCCCACCCTACCAGCATTCTACCCAACACTCACCATGGGGGCCCCTCGGTGTCCCACCAGACCAGGCTTGGGGGGTAAGTCTCTGGGTTCCATGATACAGGGTGAGGAGATGCACAGTGGGGCCAGGTAGATGGCCAGGGCAACTCCAAAAAATAGGAGCAGTAGCAGAACCTTGGGACCTGTGGGGAATGAGGGGCAGGCTATGGAGAAAGGGCAATGGGTGAGCTCTGGGGACAGAAAGCAGAGTGTGGGTGCAGTAAAATGGGCAGCAGGAGGCAGAAGCATCCATGGCCAGGGAGGGTATGTTGGGGAGTGGAATTGGCACCTCTTCGATGGATACGGTAGAAGGTATCAGCAACAGGCCAGGCCAGGAGGGTGATGCCAGCAACTGCTCCAATATGAAGGAACGGGGCTGTGGCCTGTGGACAAGAGTTGGTGAAGAGGGTTCTTCTCTCCAGTGCCCCACTCCTTCTCCTAGGACCTGACTTTTGGAGTTCAGAGCTACTTGCAGTCGTGGGGGACCAGGGAGCAAGATACGTCCAGAGGTTGGCCACAGGCCAAGGCTCCCACATAGGCACTGGAGATCAGCCACTCACCTGCAGTGACAGACGTAAGCTACGCCACTCCTGCTGCCATTGGACGTCCAGTCCCACGAGGCCAGCGGCCACAAGAAGCATGATGAGGAGCAGCAGCATCTAGGGGACCAGAGATGAATGGGGTCTTCTTTGTGAGCCTGGGGGTCCCTGGGCTGCCCCCTCTCTCTTTCCCCTGGCTCATCCACGTTCCTTCTTTCACTCAACAAAAATTTACTGGGCTTCAGGTCCTGAGCTTGAGTCCATGGGTAGAATATTGAGGTGCTCAGCAAAATAGCTGGCCAAGCCCTGGGCCCAGTGGTCCCCGTTTCCCGCTCACTCCCACCCGCACTCTTACCTTGTGGACACTGTGCAGATGCAGAGGCTGGCCGCAGAGCCGCAGGAGCAGGGCCAGGAGCTGGAAGCAGAGGGTGGTGGGAGGTATGAGGTGCCAAGAGGGGTCACCGAGGTGGGCTTCCTGGGTTCCCAGGCTGACACCGTCCCCCTCACCTCCCCTCCCCTCAGTGGCCAGGGGTTGAAGCTGAGCAGGAAGGGAGGACTGAGGTAGGGGTTAGATGGGCCGCTCCCTGACCCACCAATAGCAGGGATGCATATGTGACAAGTAGAGAGATGACCAGCAGAAATGCCAGGGACCAGTCCATCCAGTGTCCCCAGTGTTGGAACAGGAATCTGTGGGAGGGGAGAGAGAGGTGTCTGAGTGGGGGAAGGGGTGTTAATAGTGGCCTGAGCGGAGTTGGGGTGGGTGGGTTCAGAAGGAGGACTAGAAGGGAGTGAGAGGGAAGCCTTTCATGGGGCCAGGGGCTCCAAGGACTGGGGAGACTTCGTGGAGCAATTTTCTAAGGAGGTTGGGTAGCAGGACAGCTGGGCAGGGCCGGGAATGACTGAGCACCCAGGGGTCCCAAGGTGGGGCATAGATTAACATGTATGCAGAGGAAGGGGGGGATCTGTGACACACTCATTGAAGTTGTGCAGGTCATTGAGAAGGATGAGCCCGATGTACAGCCAGCCCAGGGAGAGGAGAAAGGTGAGGAAGAGCAGGCCAAACCAGATACAGTCGCACTGTAAAGGGGCAGGAGAGAAGCTCACAGCCGATCCCCACTTCCAGCTCAGAGTCCCCAACGGATGACAGCTCCATGGGGCTTCCCGCCAGGAGTAGGGCTGCTCTGCTCTGCTCTGCTCCGCAGGCAGAGAGAAGTTTTCTTCCTGGGGAAAGAAAGTCCCTTCCCAACCCCCCACCCCCGCCGCCACCCCCCACCAGCTGCCTCTGAGCACACTTGGCTTCCTTATCCCCTCCAGGCGGCCTCTGCCTCGGACTTCCAGTCCCCCCCATCCCTACTCCACCTTGCTGGTTTGCATCCTCTCTTTGGGGCATTTCCTCCAGTGGCAGCTATACAGGCAGTGGAGGCAGCGGGCCCAGACGGAGCAGCAGCCGGGGGACTCGGCCATGGCGAGGGCCTGGGGGAAGGGATACTGGGCCATCAGGGACCCTAGCAGAAGGCAGATCCCAGCCTCCCTCCCAGTGTATCTGAGGAGCGCGGGGGAGGAGCAGAAGCCTGGACCGCTGCTCGGCAACGGAGTTCATAGGGCTGAAGTCCCAGATTAGATGAGGAGGTGAGCAAAGGGGGATAATCTCTGGGGTCTTTCTTTCCCTTTAATCTGGATACCTGGAAAGTCGGTGGGACAACCAGGAGATCGGGCCTCTTTGCAGGCAGGGTGCATACCCAAGCTCTCCAACTCCTCCCCATTTAACAGCATGCATCCAGCTTTGGGGATAGAGTGCTTGCCCAGGGTGGGGACTCAGGAGAAACTGCCCCAGGGTGGGGCAAATTCAATTTAGCAAGTTGAGGCAGATCTGGCCAAGCTTTAGGCAACCCCAAGGTAGGGAGCCTTCCACCCCAGGAACCAAGAGTAACCTGAAGCAGAGGTTCTAGTTCTGACCTGGGGCTAAGGGAGGCCGGCTAGTTGGCCAGTTGCTATGGATACAGAGATTGCACACACCACAAAACCCCGACTATAAGATTCTCAGTCTCCACCTCCCAGGGGCCAGGGGACACTGCCAATAACAGGAAGACTTGAGGGAAATAGGTTGCCTGGGTCACTCCCAGCCTTCTGAAGGAACCACTCTCCTGCCCGCACACACCTGGAAAATCTAAGCCCTCTGGCCCCAGTCTTGTCCCTTCCAGTCCAGTCATTCTGCCCCCCCACCCCCCAGCCAGGAACCAGTCTCCACCTTCCCCCTTTTAGGGGCCCCACCCTCTGAGATCGCTTGGGTGAAGGTACAACAAATACTGGTCAAAGGTATGTGTGTGGGGGGGTGTGGTTGTGTTGGGGCTGGGGATCATTGGACCTTGTGCTTTTGGGTCAGGCTGAGACCTGGCTGGCTTACTGATCCCTAAACTAGGTTGGGTGTGTGATTGTCATTCTACGTGAGAGGGTGTGCGATTTGTGTCAGCTTTGTATGTCTGTGTGCACTAGTGGCTGTCGGTAGTGGGTTTCAGTGTGTAAAGGAGTCCCTGGATATACCCAAAGTGTGTGTGTTCTGAGGGACATGACCCCTTGTCATCTAGGCTCCCCTAAGGCTGTGGAGTCTTAGAGGGTACACAGTGGTGGGCTCCCTGAAAGGAGGAAGGGTGTGGCTGCTCCTGAAACTGCCCTCCTTATCCCATGCTTGCCTTGGGAAAGGAGAATTAGGGGATAGGGAGTGGAGGGGTAGGGATTGTAGCTGGGGGAAGGAAAACTCTCCCCTCTCTGAGACCCCTCGCAGGAAAAAGCCATCTTAAAGGGAGATCCCTGCTTCTTCCCATCCCAAGACTGGCTTCCAGTAGACTGCCCCGGGCTCTATCCACACTCCCTGCCTCCCTTAAGGTTCTGCCCCTGTACCCCAGACACTGCCTTCCAGAGTCCCACCTCCCTCCAGGATCTGAGCAGTCTGAAAACCCCAATCAGGGGAGCTGAGCAGCGGCGCTGCTCAATCCCTGAGCCCAGTTCCTGCCAGTGGGAGCCGGTCTCCACCCCACCACCCCCGGCTATAACCCCCAGCCTTCCCAAGTCCTCACACCTTTTCTCAGCGGCAGCTCCACTCTGCTCTCTGCTCTGCACTGCACTGCTTCCCAGCTCCTCTCCGACTTGTCTGCCTCCTCCCTTTTCCAGTCCTTGGCTCAGCCCCACTGGTCAAACAGGTGGCAGTGTTGCCACCTACAGGAGTCTGCGCGGGTTCTCTCCGAAAGCCCTCAGCTGCTCTATGGCCAGTGCCCAGCCGGGGTGGGACGATGGGAGGGAGGAAGGAGGAGGGGGAGCAGAGCTGCTTCTTTACTCGCTGCCGGTCCGGGGGCTTGGGGTGAGGAATTCTTTTGTGCAGCCTTCCCCATCCCTCTGTCCCTCCTCCTGTTCCCCTCTCAGTCACTGCCGGGGCTTTGTCTGGGCTCGGGGAGGCGAGGGCTGAGGGCACCGGCGGGGGTGGGGTTGGGGGGTG